CAAAAGGTGGATAGGAAGGTTAGTTAAGATGTAGAACCAGGAGTCAGGAGATCTGAGTCCTAGTCCCAGCTCTGTGGCAGACCTGCGATGTGATGGGGAGCAATTCCCTCCCAGTTTCCAGGCCCTGGCATCCTCGCCTGTAAAATGGTGAGTTACACCACCTGCTGCAGAGGGGTTTTGTGAGGCAGAATTAATTGAAGTTTAAGTCCCATAGAATGGCGCTATAAAAGCACAAAGCATATTATCTATTTCTGTGGTTCCATGTGGTGAGACTAATCAGTCCCAGGTCTTGTGGCAGGGTTTTAAAAAAACATTAATGGATTTTTTTTTTTAAACTACACCTTCTGTTGCATGTGAGACTGCTCTTTAGGGCTTCTGTCTAGTCCTGTTGAAGTCACAAGAAAGATTTTTTTTTTTTTTTTTTTTGACTCCAACAGGATTTGATTAAGGTTCTTCTCAATCATCCGAGATGGAGGATAAACATTCTCAAAGGCGTGGAACATGCTTTCTAGTTCTAGCCACGTTTTTAAGTTGCTTCAGGTAGGTACAGAACCTAATAATATAGGCATACATAGACAAGGTGGGAGTGTGGATCAGCAATTGCTTTGGAAAGAGCTTGAGAGATGCAAGACCTTACCTACTCTGCCCTTACCCTTTCTCACTGTCCACTGACAGCCCTCTGCCGCCTCTCAACTGCATTGTGGATTGTATGAGCACTCCCGGTCTGCTTTCCCACAAAATCAGATAGGATTGCTCATAGTATTGCTGAAAAATAGTTGAGATAACACAGCTGTCTTTGTACTGAAGTGAAGAAGGGGCACTTAAATGATTCATCAACCTAACTCCTCAGCTTGACGGTAACTCCCAGTAGGAGGAGCAGTGACTTTTAAAATAGCTCCCTCTAAATCCTAAAAGAGAGAGTTATCTTTAAGGTGGCATTTTGGAGACCTCTGGAAGCGTATCAGTCTGTAGATAGAAAGCTCGATTATATGAGAGAGACAATAGGAAAAAAAGGATAAGTCTATAGTAATATCTTAATTAATTTTATGTCCATGCATTAAGTTAATCAGGTTTTCTATAGCAGTTCCAGAATTTTTAGTGGTAGTCATTCAAAAGTATTTAGGTTTCCCCCCAGCACCCTTAGATGTTCATCTATGAGATGACTGGGCCATGCTCTCTCTGCTTGGCTGGAATCGTAGAGTTATCTGCTAAACTCACAGCTAATGCCATCCTTAGGAAGGAACAAAGGCCAGCTAAGAAACATGAAAATGAGCTAATTTTTTTAAATTCTGGGTTTTATTTTTTGATGTATGTATAGGTTAAGGCCAAAAACTGGCTAAAGGTTCTCATTTAAAAAAATTATTAAAGCCTTTCTGCAATTCTCCTGTTACCCCTAAATCAGCTTCATTTAGTGCTAAACCTTCCCTCCTCTTTGCTCCCCCCAAGTCACTTTTATTCTAATGCTGCAATAAATATTAATGTCTTTCCCAGATGCAACCACTTAAAATATATAAGTATATATAATGACCTACCAAATACTTCATGCAGATGCCAGTTGCAGCTAAAATTTGACTGGAGAAACTCTGAGAGGAGAAAAAGAGAGATGTGGCTCAACTAGAGGAAAGATAAAAATTCTTGTGTGTGCATCTAAATAAAACTAAATGTAAATCTGGGGTGACGGGAGGGAAAACTGTCTTAGTGCAGCATATCCAGTGAGCTCCAAAGAAACTACAAACATCTTAGCACAGGCAACATATATGAATACTGCCACAATGCTTGAGTACTAAAACCCAAGGCCAGCACTTTCAAAAGCGAGATGAGGAATTACTGGTGCCCAATTTGTGATATCTTAAAGATGCAGAGTTTTCAGCAGCTCCGGTGCTCAGCAATTCCAGAAAGTTAGGCACCTTTAAGTTGTCTCAAGTGGGGCTCCCAAAATTGCTGTTGGTTAAATATCCTGGCTAAATACCCTAAAGCTCAGTGCGTTTGCATGCTAAATGCTGTTTATTGCAAAGCAGTCGGTGAGGGATGAGAATGCTCTGCGTCTTATAGGAGGCAGACGGCTCGGAGAGAAAGGAGAGTTTTGTTTTCTGTGCATTTTTAATGGAAAATACATCTGTTGGTATGAATCAGCACAGATCTAATTGAAATTCAGGTTAATTTTCACATACGCTGCTGATCTATGTTTGCTGGGGATCTGAACCCCAATTTTCTGGAGACGTTTAGCAGAAAATATAAATTTAGTTCATTGCCATGCGGTGTTGCAGAGTTCAGTCGCGGATACTGTTAAACATACATTTAGAATTTTTACCTTTTAGCATCTGCCTTCTAGGGGTTTGTGTGACATACAGTACAGTAGTATCTTAGCTCTTCTCAAAGTCAGTTCAGCTGACACAGCGAGTTCTCTTACAGACACCTTTCTTTGCTCTGATTTGCTTTGTTCTTTAGTTTGTGTTGAGTCTTTTTCTTATCTAGATGAATAGGGATGCAAGCATTTAAAAAAATTAAAAAGGAAACTGGACATTTTCCTGATAAATTTGATCTTTTATTTTTCCTTAAAAGTAATGACTTCTTGTGGATTTTTGTTTGCAGTTATCCTCCAAAACAATCAGTTAGCCACTAGCTCATTGATTTTCATGTAAAAGTTACTTGCCTTGGTTTCATTATATAGTTTGGTTACGTTCTGCAGTTTTTCCTTCCATAGATAGATCTCAGTAACATAAGCAGTTTATGTATCTGCAAATTTTTTTTTATATTTGTAAGAAGAGGGCAGGATAAAAAGGACTGTGAGTAACATTTCTGGCTCAAATTCTCCTGTGAATCTTTGAGTGTGCCGGCATGCGTAGCATTTTTCCTTCTCAAAACATTCTTACAGATAAAATCTTGCTTGCCGAATCATTCAAATAAAAGAGGTCACAGGTTTTGGCATGAGGAGTCAATAAGACTTATTTGATAGAATATATTCACTCAGTGCTGCTCCTGAGGTGTGAAGTTCTGTAGGATTTTTAGTTCAGAATACAAGGAGGTGACCAGGGCTCTGTTCACAGAAGTTGCCCTCTGACAGCTGAGCACTGACCTCCTGCATGCCAACGTGAAGAGAGGCTGCAGCAGGACGCTGTACTTTCACCTTAATCTGTGCCAGTGAGCTCTTTAAGTCATAAATGAGAAGGGACGATAGAGATAAAAATAACAGTCTGCAAAATGCACACACAGAGAAAATAAATATTTTAGATATTTTTAAAATGTTTGTGAGAGATTTCAGGAAAAAAAGGAACATTTAAATTTAAAAAGCTCACTGGAAGGATGTATTTTGTGACAGTCATTTTATGTGACGTTATCTGGGTCTTTTTTGTGGGTTGGATTGTCATGAGGTTTTCGAAGGGTTTTGTTTGTTCAAGCAACATATAAATGGATCAGATCCTTCGATATTTCTTTGTATGTTTGGGGCAGATGGAAGAGAAATATGGCTATGTAAGTGGTGCAAAGAAAGTAGCAAAAACAAGGGAGAGTGGATTTTTGCTTTATTGTCTTGTGTTAGGACTATTTTGGTTGTTCTTGTTGGTAAACCCTAGGAAATATACATCTTTCTCCTTTAAAGTTCTAATTCAAGGCATGAATGTGTGAGTTCTGAAGGGACTTAGGGACTGCGGTAAAAAATCGTTGTCATAGTAACAGAAAGGGAAATAGGCCTGGCTCACCTGGGACTTTAACTTACTGCAAAAGCGGATTTTTTTTTTTTAAGGAAAGCACTCAGCAAGAGAAATAAATAAATAAATTGTTCTTTGTATTCTAAATCAATTCTTCAACTATTTATTTTTTCTTATATCCAAGTCTTTTTCCTTCTAAATCTGTCTTAAAGTCTCTGATTTTTTTTTTTATTTTAATTGTTGCAGTTAAACCCATTTTGTCTGACAAATGGAAATGAAAAGAATCACAGAAAATATTTTCACTTGAGATAGAGGATGCCAAAAAAATTTCTTGCCTGTTATGTCTGAATTTTGAATACATGCTTGTTTTGTTTTTAATCCAGCAACTATGATTTTTCATATAGTTTCTTTATCTCTGAAATTCACAAATTTAAACAGATGAATTGGATAACAAAGGGATGAATCCTCTCCTCCCTCTATTTGACACAACATTTTGTGGAAAAGCTTATAGAAAAACGCCTGCCTAGTATTTCCAAACTGTAAAATCTACGTGCTCTAGTGGATAGTGTTGGGTAAACCAATCAAGCGTGCTGAAGATTCAACTTATGTACATGACAAGCTAAACTCTACAGAATAATAACACATAAAGATAGGCATATGTGACAGGGCAAAAATAATTGGCACGAGAACTTTGTACAATGTTAATAGGTTTATCTACTTGGACAGCATGAGCTGTCATGTATGACTTCAGGTTGTGTTTTTGTTATCCTCTCTCACAATCTACGTAAGATTATAATCTGGACTCCTGGCAGTTCTGCTTCTCTGCTTTAGTTACTGAAATCTTAATAACTAAAAACATTGTCATGATGAAATCTCATCAGCTTCTTCTGGGAGCTGTATTTGTTTCTATGTTTTTTAATACATTCTAAGTAGTTTCAAGGCTTATCTGCTTCAGAATTGCCCTGTCGGTTTTTGTAGTTTTTACAATAACATTATCCTTCTATATTGTTTCACAGAAAATCCCTTCAGACAGCGAAAGAAAGACCTTGTATGCAAGGGAGAGATAAAGAAAGGGACTAAAATTGTGTGGTCAAACATGCAGTGAGGAAACCAGCATAAATCAGAGTAGATACGTTGACTTATACCAGCTAGCAGCCCAGCTCCGAGTGAATTACAGTCACATTGGTTTTACTTTACCTGATTTTTTTTTTTAACTTCTGTTTGTTACGGTTTGTTTTTGTTTGGTTTGTTTCTGTTTTGGTAAGTTCTTACAGTCCTGGTCTACTGATACGCCATCATGTAAATCACTACGATGCATACTTTAAAACAGAATAGAACAACATATGTTTGGTTATGGTTAATAGAAGTGACATGGTTCTTTATCTTTCCAGATTCTTCTTAAAATTTTTTCTCAAGTGCAATCAGAATTGTTTGAAAACAGCAGGAAACCCAAGAGATATGAGACGGTTCCAGGTAAGTCTTACAAGGCTCAGCATTAACCTGTCTGCTTTTTTTCTTCTTTTCCTTTTCCCTCTCCTCTCTTCTACATTGTTCATAATAAATATGATGACAGTATATGATAAGCCGTATCAGATATTGTTAAAGTTTTTCTCCATTTGTTGTGTTTAAACCTTTTTTTCCCCCTTTTTTCCTCTTTTTCCACTCTGAATCCCCAAGGGGAAGTGATGTACTGTACCAACCAGCAGTGGATATTTGATTTGACACCCTCGGGCAAAGCACTCGCACATACAGCTGCCCACAGCAGGGATCATGTTTGTGATACTTAGATGCCTCAGAATTTTTCAAAGTAGCTCTATACGTGGTACACAGGCAGACTCCTCATTTCCCTCCACTCCCTATCTCTCTCCATCTCTTTTGCCTTTTAACTCTCTCATGCCCTCCCTTTCAGCTTCTTTAAAAAAAGAAGCCAAAATAGTGATGGTCACTTTAAGATCTCACGCAGCAAAGCAACAAGACCCATGGGACAATGACCCAGCTGCTTTGCAGTGAAATCTGCCACTGGTTTCATCATAGCTGTCGCTGATGTATTGTGAATACCAGCTAATAAAAACACAGAAGGAGGTGAAGTGTGTCACTGGTGAAGAGAAAGGCAGACACAGTCTCACATCTTTCATACCCTAACCTTTTAAGCAACTATGTTTAATAAATAAGTATTTTACCTGTAACTTAGCCCTCACAAAAATGTAAACGTAATGCTCAGGCCTTTTACTTCATAGATGCACTGTCACGTCCCTGTGCGGCGTGAAAGGTGGCATGGCAGAGAACGCTGTAGAAAAGTGGTGCTAGAACTAACTCTGGTGCAGCTGAGAGTGAAGCAGCACGGTCTAGCGAAAGGGATACAAGGATTGCAAGTCAGATGGTTGGGCTGTACCACTAATTTGCTGGGTGACCTTTGATGAGTCATTTTCCATTTCTTTTAGTATGTATTTCCACATCTCCAAATGGGGTTGCTCACCTTGGTAAAACTTTGTGGTCTTGTTTCAGGAGAGCATTTGAGAAAGCGCATGCATGCTGTGCCAGCCAGAGCCTTTGAAATCTACTGGTGAAAAGGAATATACTTGCAAATGCTGTTACTGCTTGTTGCCATTATTATTGTACCTTCACTGTGTCACATCTGTGATACAAAGAGGATTTTAGCTTACTGGGGGATGTGTGATTTTCTTGTAGACCCACAAGACTTGTAGTGGGAAGGTGACGTCCTTAGGTGTGGCAATTCATGTTGGGCACTTGCATCAGTTTCCTCATTTATGAAGGAAATGAAGTTAAAACTCCACAGGAGTTTACAGAGTTGTTTAAAACTTTCCACCAAATGTTTTCACAGACAAGTGATTTTTTTTTTTACTTTTACTAGCAATGAAAAATTGACAAGGAGGTATATTTTTATCAAAAAAAAAAAAAGAAAAAAATCAACTTTTAAGAGAAATACTGCAAAACAAAAGCTTCTGAAAGCTCCAAAAATTTTAAAGAATTTAAAGGCAAAAAATATAAAAGAGTTATTAATTTTTTGTTTTGAGCAGAAGTAAACTTAAAGAAAAACTCATGACCAACTTAATTTTTTTTAGTGGTTTAAAGAGACTGCAGTGACTTCTTCATTCTGTGTTTTTAGAGATGATAAGACATGAGAAAAAAGAGGTGCTCATTGTTAGGAAATTTATACTGGTATTTTTTTTCAAGTGGCAATTTCTGTAAAGAAAAAACATCAATCAGATATCATCTGCCAAGAATGCAAAAAAATCTGAGAGTAAAGGAAAAGTCAATTTATAGCATGTAAACAGACCTTATTAGCTCTTAGAGCCAGCTAGAATAGCTGATTGTGGAATGTAATGAAACATAAATACAGAGTCTCTTTTTTTTGTTTTGTTATGAGTTTGTAAAAAATCTTGCACAAGGGTATCCTGATTAGCACCTGGGGATTCTAGGCACTGCCATATTACAAATAATATTGGTTGTAACAGCCAAAATATAAACTCTGGATCCAAACACACCTGAACACTGAAGAAATTCAGATCTGATTTCAATCTCATGCTAGCTGCCCCCTCACTATGGCAAGTGAAACTAAAATCCTGGAATTCGATCAGGTGCTGAACTGCAGGAGGATTTTGGATCTAATTTTGGGGGGCAGAAATCTATCTCTAGTATCAGCCTTATTCTTTGTTTCACCTATGTATCTCCACACCCAAAATGGTGATGTTATAGAGCCTGAACAGTTTCAAATTACCAGTGAAACTGGAACAGGGAAACTGAAATGAGTCTTACAGCACCCACATGGTTACTGATGGAATGCCTTCATTCCTTCAGCCCATCCACCTGGCATGAGAAAGTATGGTCTTGCTTTTGATCTTTGTACCAAAATCAGCAGTTTATTGGAGAGGAAAATGAGCTGGGATAGACTCTTCATCTGGGTTTTCTGCCTTACAACATGCCAAGCTGGAAAAATAGAGCCAAGTGAAACTCTCTGGTTCTGTTTTGCAGGGCTTACTTAAACTCCTTGTGCACTTTCAGTCCATGTGAGTTCATATCCTTTGAGTTTCATTGTGAGATTTAAGTTCAAACCCTCAAATTAATCAAGATGAGGCAAAACCACTAGGTTTAGCTTACTTTTTGTCAAAAGTGTTGTCAGTACTTTGTTTCAGAGTTACAAAAATGAACCCTTTGAGACAAATTGCAAAATGCTTGAGGTTTTGAGTGAAAGCAGGATCTTCATTCAGGCTTGTTCAAAACTGGACGCATTGGTTGACGAGCTTTGTTCTGGGCTACAGAGGTCAGTCTGTATAAAAAAAAGATAGAAAAAGTAGTTCAATTGCTAAAATTTTACACATTGGGAGTAAAAAAGCTCTATGTTCCAAAGGAAATTAGCCATGATGAACTGTAAAGACAATAAGCAAAGACAGCTTGTTTTCTGTCTGCCTCGTTGTTTCTAAGGACAGAAGCATGACTTTCCTGAATGCAACGACAGTTAAGTGTTCTTGAATGCTCCACTGTCTCTGTCTTCTGGATCCTCCTTTTTTTTTGGTTGATTTTTTGGGCTTTGTTTTGTTTTATTTTGTGTTTTGTTTTGGTTTTTGTTTTTAAATTTGGGCAAACACTTCTTTGCCTGCTGCTTGTTGAGCATGGTCTGTCAGCTACCCTTAAAGTCAGAAGTGGGGGAAAAAAGATAGTTAACTTCAAATATCAGTGGTGTGCTTGCACACTGTGAACATGTTCATTTTCATTTTAATTGTTACGATTTACATCAGGCAAAGTAATTAATGTGCAGAATTGTTTATTAGGTTTGAAAGGACAGTTGTTTGTCCTACCAGTACAGGAACATGTGAGCAGAGTAAAAGCAGGGTCAAAAAGCATAGTGCAGTAGGATAGTTTATTCATTTTATGATTTAATTAATTATGTTTTATTCCTGGGCCACATCTAAAACCTTTATTCATTTTTCCTAATAAATTATTTGTACAGCTGTTGTTATTAAGGCCCTCCTCTTTCAAACATTTCCACACATTTAACTTTCCTTATGCAAACAGATTTCTGCAGCGATGCTCAGCTGAGTATCTTTTAATTTGTACCTATGTTTTTCTGCAGAACCAAATATATTAATTTTCAATGGAGTAGCGCTTATCAGATCTCCAGGAGACATTAAGATACTCTTTTTTATCGTTATAAAAAAAAACCAGAAGAGAGAATCCCTATATCAAAGTTCTCATTTAAATTACTACTGAAACCTGGAACTGAAAGGGTCTCATCAAAAAACATTTCTGCTCTTTAATGGAAATTGAATGAAAGCCCAAAACTCGGGCTTTGTTGTTGAGACACACATATAAATACAAGACATGGAAATAGTGCCGTACAATGCATCTTATTGAGTTCTTCCAGCATGGAAGAATGGTTACTCATGTCTGGAAAAGTGTCAAGTTAATGCTTCTGATTAGAGATGGGTGTGAAGCTACACAGTTTGGGCTTGGTTTGGCTGATAACCAAAGTTCCAGGGCGTTGGGATCCAGTCTCTGAGCCTGGCCTCAGCCTCACTTCTAGATATGTTATAAGATTTAGGTATTTTATAGTATAGTTACGATATATTAAACTAAATTAAATGTTAGATTTCACTTCTATCACTCTCATTTAAAAAAAGGGGGGTGGGGAGAAAAAAGGGTGGAAAGGTTACATTAACACTGCATTGTAAATTTAATACAGCTCCAGATGCCTGAAGAGGTGTTTTTTTAAGTATAATTCTTTAGTTTGGAGAGCAACACCAGCTGCTTTGTGATCGCATTAACTATTTGAAATTTGCTTTGATATTAAGTAGAGCTTCAAAGATAGAATGAAAATCTCTTAACTTCCTTTTTTTTTTAATCAAATACAAAGGTTTTCTACTGTTTAAAAAAATGTTACACCTCAGAAGTTAAATGATGTGTGATCATTATTTTAGTGGGGGTTTTTTCCCCAGTAGTAACATACTTTTATTGTGAATCACTCACTACTTCCATGTCTGTCAGTGGCTAAAGCAGGGAAAGGGAATCTTTCTAGAACTAATGGATATTTTCGGGGTTACTTGATGGCTGCCCAAATACATATGCAGATTGAGTAATATGTCCTTGTGAATTTAACTGAAGCAAATATTGATTATTTATCAATTAAAATATTTCTGAATAAAGATTGTCAGTGGAAAACTGAAACAAAAAGCATGCTAAAATCACCTATTCAAACTTAAACAAAATAGTGCTGACTATTTGAGTTCAGCTAATCTGCAAATCTGAGTTTACGTAGGTATTGTCATTACTGTCATTGCTTTATGCTCAGTGAGTGATTCTCCCAGGAACAGAATAAAAAAACAATATGATGCCCTCCTTTTAATGAGGACTTCTCCTAGAGAACTTGATTGAAGCCTGATGATACTTAATGGTAATGACCGGTGTGTAATGGGGGACAATAATTTTGTGGAATTAAGATGAGGCACTTCAGCTAA